GGTTAATTGAGCAGTTATGGGCCAAAGTCTAGAAATTTTCCATCGAAAATTTCAATAAATTTATCCCAAGAGTAAGATTTGAAGTTTCGTACAATGACCATAAAATAGTGAAATTTTCCAAGCTCTTTTTTTTAGAAAAGATTTTCTACAAACTTGTCCAGGAAGAGAGAAAAACATTAAAGAAAAAAACATTAATCATTAAACAATTTTTGTTGCATGTGAAAACTAGCTCGTTTATTAAAGTGAATAGAAAATAAGCTCAGGAAATTTGCTATCGTCCTCTTAGTGGCATTTGTTTCCATTCCACCAGTCGTCGCAAAAATTCTTCTACCTGCTCAAAACATAATTTAAAAAAAAAAAAAAAATTAGTATTCCTCCATAAAGATATATAGTAGAACCATGATAAAACTTAAAGAAGAAAAATATAATAAATATAAATTACCTCGGAAGGTTCTTGTAGAGAATATGTAGCATTCGTTTCCTTTGGAACTTTGGACACAAGTATACCAAAGCCTTGTTCTTTCTCTCTCAGTACCTACGCACATCAATATATTGATAAATTAATCAGTCTATAAAAGGTAAACAAAAAAGTTAAAATATACAGAAAAACAGGAACAAACTATAATATATAAACTCTCCACATTAGGTTTAAAAATTAATAGCGTTGTAGGTAGTAAATATTTACCTTAAAAGCATCCTCGTCCGTTCGATCATCTCCGATGTAGATGGGCAAAACATTGTTACAGTGAGCGAATCCTAAAGACTCAAGCAAGAACTCGAGAGCTTTGCCTTTGTCCCACTTGATGGTTGGTCTGATCTCTATAACTTTTCTTCCTTGTGTTAATCTCAGTTCTGGATACTCACTCAATATAGATGTCACGTGTTCCACTACTACTCCCCAGTCCTATCATTACGAATCAACAAGACGTTATAAGTTTATAGTACGTAGAGGTTAGAGAATATTTGTGATTTCGATTCAGTTTTATATATTTATACATTTTGATCAACACAACGGTAATGTACGGAGACACAGAACTTGTTATTCTCGACGGTTGCTCCTTTTACTTCTCTCATTTTCTCCACTAGACACTTGGTCACCTGTACAAAATAAGTTCATAATAATATATTATTTAATAGATATCGTTATATTAGTTAGCTTGGAGATGACGCTTAAATAAATAAAGATTCATAACTATTCTTCAGTAATATGGAGAACTATAAAAAGGTAAGATACCTGGTCAATCATGGGCAAGAACTCATTCGCCGCTTGGAAAAGAATACCTTTGTTGTTCTGTGTCCCAAAAAAAAAAAAAGATTAAACCTTTGTTAATATGAATCTCTTTATCTATGTTCATACATTAAAAATATGTTTATTTATGTTAAATACCTTGTTGTGTTTGGTTTTTTTGGAAGGTCCTTTAATATCCATTCCATGGCTACCGGCATAGTAAAGTCCAGGGAGTTTCACGAATTTACGAACCTAACAAATATCAAAAAGAAGGACACAAAAACACATGAGTTTTTCTTTTCTTATAACCCGAAGATACCAATATTCATTTGCTTGTTATAAACTTATAATGGATATATAGAGAATTAAAAGTTTAAAAGGTAACCTTATCGCGGCATCTTCCAGTGACAATCGCGGTAGGGAAATATCTAGCGACGCCTTTCACGGCCTCTCTCATCTGAGAACCAAATGTTGTTAGAAGATTTGAATATCTAAAAAAAACAGAGGAATAAGCAAGTAGATGAGAAGCAAAACCTCGTCGGTCATATAAGCGTGGTCTGGATTTTCTACAATGGGCGATAATGTACCGTCGTAATCAAGAAACATAACGATTTGTTTCCCTTTCGAAGCTTCCACGATCTCTTGGAACATGCTTAAAGCCGAGGGGTGTTGAGCCATCCAAGAAGAGTCTTCTTCGTCATTGGAGGATTCGGGGAGGGAGGAAATGTTCCCAGGTCGGGACCGGGTCGGGGAAGAAGCTCTCATGGCTTCGATCCAAGTGTTGATCCGGGTTTGGCTCGGGTCAGCCTCTAGCTTCTGCACAAGTTTCTTCCGGGGAATGCTGATGTATCGTCCACCCCCCGGAGAAAACAGAGATTGGTTCGATACAGAAATCCTACCCGCGACTCCGATGCTGCCTTTTGCATCGGAGAGTAACGCATTATGATTAGTCATTGGGGATTAGGGGGAAAAAAACAGAGGAGACGTCGAAAAAAGTGATGGGGGGGAGAGAGAGAGAGAGGAAAGGGGTTTGGTGAAGAAAGACAAGTTGCAAGTCTTGATACATGTAATGATAATAGACATAATGTTTGGTCAATTTATAAACTTCCTCTCCAAGAGTGAAATAGCTTATTCCTTGTACAGTTGCCACATCACTCCTATTTGTTTCATTATATCGATTTTTTTTTTTTTAGATTTAATTCGACGTTCAACAGAACTTGGATCCATTATTACGGATCAATATTTGACAATGGTTTAAATTGTAACTTATCACTAGTTCATATTATTAGTAATTTTATTGTCCTCTTGTATAGTTATTTCGTATTATTAAATTATTACGCTTTAAAATATGGAAAATGACTTTTTTTCTTTCTCTAGCTTGCGGTATTTCTAAGTCCAGATCCGACTTGGCTATCCAAAAGAAAACAAAAAAACTAGTGATGAGAAGTTATTCTCGTCCTAGTCAATGTTAGTTCACTTCATATATAGTTGAATTGTATCTAAGACAGAAATTGTTGACTTCCTAGTAAATATTAGTTCGCTTCATATATGATTGAATTGTATCAAAGATCAGACTATTTACTTTAAAATTATGGGTTTTCCTACACCTATTTTTTGTGTTATTCATCTGCAATTGTTGTTATCAAGACAAATATGACATTTTAAATGAGTTTTTTTTCTTCGAGGTTTCGATGCAAATAAAATAAAATAAGTGATTTGCTAAAGTGGTAGCTTTTGGTGCAAGTTGCGGTC